AAAAAGATGATGGGATGAAGGAGTGAAAGAGCAAATGAAATAGATAGCAGTTATGTCGGAGAAGACCGACCCTCATCAAAGATGTGATGTTTAATTCAAAAGAGGAATAGAAATAGAAAAATTGTCAAATACACAAGAAGAAATAGATAAGAAACGATCTGTTATATATATATATATATATATATATATAGAGAGAGAGAGAGAGAGAGAGAGAAAGAGAGAGAGTTTAAGAATAAACATACAATCAATCATACAACGCGTCAACAAAATTGTACACACACAGACAGACAGACAGTCCAAGATCGACATTAACAAACGTACAATTGCATAGTGACAAACAAGCTTACATACATGCATACAGACAGACAGGCTAACAGACAGAAAGACATACAGACAGACATGCAGGCATGCAGACAGACAGACATGTGTAAAAATAACCATAGCCTCACATGAAACAAGTTTTATATTAATTGATGATATTATCATAATTTAATAAAGAAGATTACATGGTGGTATGTTCAACATCATCCTCATTATTTTCACCCAACCATCCATCCATTTTTTTTTCATTCATTTATTCATTCATTCTTTTAGTCTATCTTCTATCCGTCCATACATCCATTCATTCATTCATTCATTCATTCATTCATTCATCCATCCATTCATTCATTCATCTATCCATTCATTCTTTTGTTCATCTTCATGATTAGTTTCATCTGTTTTCCAACCTTATCACTCTTAAACTGATCTCAGGAACGCGGCACGAGTTTATGATTATCATCATCCCATTGTAGCATATATATTATCATCTTAACCGTCATTCCTGCTACCATTTTTACTCTTTCTTTCAAGTTATCTTCGGCATCATCATTGCCATCACCCAGTATTTTGATTTTGTTAACCATTTGGTTATATTAACTTTGATCGTGTTTATATTGTAATTTTTTCGTGAACGCTACATTGTTGTTATAATCATTATAAATATGCCATCCTCATCATCATCCTCTCATTGTTATTATTATCATCATCATCACATTGTTATCATCATCATCGTTTTTATTATTGTCATATCATTATCTTATCATTGAAAAATCGGTGTTGCTAGATTTATTGCACTACCATCATCATGATGGTCATCTTACAGCCGGATCATCAGCATCATCATCGTCGTCGTCTCGTCATCATTTTGCCATAGGCATCCTCACCATCATTCAAACCATCATCATTATCACATCACCATCATTGCCATCATCATGGTCACAGCCGACAGACGCGTTAAGAGTCAGTCAGTATTCATTTATTCATTGTTTGCAATGCTTTACGAGCGGACAAAAATTATCTTTTGCTTGTAAATTCATAAATAACTTTAAAAAAAAACAATACAAATAAATTCCGCCTAAAAATACAAATGAAATAAAATATTCACAACGATGTAAAAGCAATTATTTTTATTATTTATGTCAAAATTTCTTTCTTGAAAAATAAAATGAATAAAAAAAACCTCAAAGAATGTTTAAAAATATCATAAACAAAAGCTGCTCAGTGGCTAATAAAAAATAAGATTTATATATAATAGACCAGTATATATATATATATAGGCTTGTATAAACAAAGTACATCCAGAAACAAAAAAATTGTGTGTGTTTATGTATGTATGTGTGTGTGCGTGCGTGTGTGTATGTGTGTGTGTACGCGAGTGAGTGTATGTGTGTGTGGTGTTTGTGGGTATGCCTGAGTAACTATTATTTTTATTTCATATATAAACAATCGGGTCAGATAAACCATAAAAGTCACATAATAAAAAGTGTATATATGCGATCATGATTTTTTTATGCTCTCTGAAAAAAACCACACATGTTTTATGTGGTTTTATTTCATTTTTTAATGTGTGTATGTGAGCGGAAGGAGCGCAATCAAAAGTTAACAATAAATAATA